TATGGCCCAGTCGACTCGAGTTGATATCCCGAGTCGACTGAGGAAGTCTTGAAGCTCATAAGATCTCGACGACTCCAGTGCACTTCAACATATCGAAGGACAGTCGTTAAGAATAAGAAGGAAGCTACCAAAGATAAGGAAGAATCTAGATGCTGACTAGGAAGTAGACGGAATGCGAACCGACTAGGGTATTTTGGACATTTCGAGTAAGTTGGCTATGGCATTTTAGGGACTTCAGGTAAATATTTTGCTTCTATATAAAGGAGCTGAGGTAACTCCAAAACCCTAACTCCCATCCATTCCACATTCTTCCCATTGCTGCTGCTTCCTCAGAGCAGCTCTTTTTACTCTTTTCACATACTGACTTGAGCGTCGGAGGCTCTACGCCGGAAATCCCTCCGGCATTGAGTTCTTGCAGGTGTTCTCGCGGTTCGATAGCAATTTGGAGATCATCAAGACAGATCTGAGCTCGTTCTCATCGGTTCATTCCAGATCCGGGCGATTTTCCACCAGTTCACCCCAGATCCGAGAATAGACCCATCATTTGGCGCCGTCTGTGGGGAGTTCTTGAAGGAATTAAGAGCTTTACACCTAGTTTGGATCTGTTTCCGATGGCTGAGAAGGAAGGATTGCAGAAGAACTTGAACGAGGATTTCAGGGCAGCATGGACTGACAAGCGACCTTCGCCGATTCCCAACCCCAAACCACCGCTCCAAGTGTTCGGTTTCCTGCCGTTTAGGGCACACGCGCCGTGAGGAAGGCGTATGGAGGAAGAGACGCCTATTACCCCACCCGGAGTCAAGATCCCAGTTCTCACCCAAGGGGAGGCCAGTCACGTGAAGGACACGAGCGAAGAAGCGGATGGTCACGTATCGAGCGAAACATCTTTGAGATTGGGGAGGCAGCCTGGGCGACTTTATCAGGAGACAAGGCCACCACCCCAAATCGAGGAACAAACACTGACCATGACGAGAAGCGAGGATGCAGAGGATGATTGCCGAAGCTGTAGCAGCCCAAATCAAACAGACTCGAGTCGAGCAGCCTAGGGTCGACGGCTTAGGATCGAACAAGCTAGGGTCGAGCAGCCCCAAAATGAACAACAACCCCCTGAGCGCGAACAGCAGGCGCAGTCACATGAAAGGCAGAACAAGAGGGCAGATGAAGAGGAATCCTCTGTCAGGACTGTCAATCCATAGGCGAGAAACGACACCCTGGAGCAGTTGTTAGCGCAGGTGCGAGATTTGCAGGCTCGAGTCGAGGGGAGAAAAACAGGAAGCTCGAGGGGACATCCTTTTTCACAACACATTCTAGATGCTGACTTACCTCAGGGGTTTAGAGAACTTAACATCTGGTATGACGGGTCGACCGACCCCTCTCGACATCTGAGGAGTTTTGAAAACATGGCGGTGTTGCACCGCTACAATGACCCCGTTCAATGTCGAGCGTTCCTGACGACTCTGCGAGGACCTGCACAAGATTGGTTTCATCAATTGCCCCCGGGAGCCGTCAGGGACTTTGACGGATTTAGTTCAAGTTTTCTGAATCAGTTCGCAAGTGTAAAGGCCCAAGAAAAGTCTTGCCTTACCCTGATAGGTATGCAACAGAAAGAAGGGGAAACATTGAGAGATTATGTGGCGAGGTACACACGGGCGTGCGTCGACGTCCCCTCGGCCACTGAAGAAATTAAGTCGGGAGGACTCACTCGAGGATTACTCCCGGGATTATGCAGAAATTCCCTAGCAAAGCGACCCGGAAGGACGTTCGACGAGGTATTGGGGAGGTGCGCCAAATACATAAATGTCGAGGAAGCCGAAGCCGACTTTTTACAAGCGGCTAAAGCAAAAACTGAGTCTTGGGACGAAAAGAAGGATAGAAAACCGGTCTCGACGGTTGAAAGGAAGGGATCCCCGAAGTCCGAGAGAGAAGGCCGATCGAGGGGATGGAGGGCGACCCAATATACTCCTCTGTTAGCCTCGAATGCAAGGATATTGGAAGTGATGGAGAAAGAGATCCGCGAAAATGTTGTCAGGTGGCCACGAACAAGAAAAGATGGGCCGACAAAACCTAAAAGCAACCTGTATTGTCGATTTCATAAAGACTACGACCATAACACCGATGAATGTCGGCACCTAAAAAATGAGATTGAGAGGCTAATCAAAGCAGGCCATCTGAAGGAATTCATTTATAAGGATCGAGAGCGAACCAGTCGACGAAGGGAGAGAAGCAAAAGCCCTCACAAGAGAGCGAGGACACCCGACAAGGAGGAGCTCCCTCAGAAAAGAGGAGTAATTCATATGATATTCGGAGGGCCGAATGATGGAGATTCAAATCGGGCCAGAAAAGCATATGCTCGAGGGCACCACGGAAAAATTGAAGTGCAGCAGGTCGAAGAAAACGGTCTAGTGATGAATTTTGGACCAACAAACATAGGAGAAGTCGAGAGGCCTCACAACGATGCCCTAATGATCACAACTCAGATATCGGGCTATGAAGTGCAAAGCATCTTTGTCGACACAGGAAGCTCAGTAAATGTGATCTTTTACAATTGTCTTAAGTGGATGGAACTCGACATCGAGCTTGCACCCCTGCACACCTCGCTCTTTGGATTCAATGGCTCGGAAGTCGCACCCCTGGGAGAAACCACGCTCGCTGTCGTCCTCGGGGAAGGCGACTTAAGGAAGGTAAAAATGGTGCGATTTGTAGTGGTCGACATCGAGTCGGCCTATAATGTGATTTTGGGAAGACCCGCACTCAACACATTCCAAGCAGTAGTGTCAACTTACCACATGAAGCTAAAGTTCCCCGTGGGAGATAAGGTAGGGGAGGCTCGAGGAGACCAGAGATTGTCAAGAACCTGTTACCAAATAGCAGTGAGAACAAACCAACGGACGGAGGTAAAAGAAGGAAAAAAGCCGATGTCAAATGAAAAAAGACAAAGGGAGAGTGACCTAGAGCCACATGGAGAATTAATGGAAATCCAAATCGGGGAAAAAGAGGAGCAGACCACTAAAGTAGGGAGAGAATTGGAAAATGAGTTGCGTCAACAGTTAGTGGGACTGTTGAAAGAATTCAGGGACATATTTGCTTTTTCCCCTGAAGAGCTAACAGGAATTGATCCCAATGTCATGGAGCATAAGCTTAATGTCGACCCCCTGAAAAAGCCCGTGAAACAACGGCTTAGGCACCATGGCGTAGAGATCGACAAAGCCATAGAAGTCGAGGTGGATAAGTTGCTGAAAGCCAAACATGTCAAAGAAATTCAATTCCCAGAATGGATATTAAACACAGTGATGGTGAGGAAAGCGCTAAATAAGAGGCATATGTGTATTGATTTTCGCGATTTAAATTTAGCTTGCCCAAAGGACCACTACCCCCTGCCGAGGATCGACCAGCTCGTCGACTCCACAGCTGGCTGTCAATTGCTAAGTATGATGGACGCGTCCCAGGGATACCACCAAATTCCCTTGGCTCCTGAAGATCAAAGCAAAGTTAGTTTCGTGACAAGCAAAGGGACATATTGTTATGTCGTTATGCCATTCGGACTTAAGAACGCAGCGAAATCTCGGCAAGGCTATAAAGCCCGCGACTACAAAGGTCGACTCAAACAACTACAAAGTTGTATGCCTCGAGCGAAATCTCGGCAAGGCTACAGAGCACACGACTACAAAAACTGACTTCAAAAGTTGTCTCAAGCCTAACCCGTCAAGGCTAAAATGCATACGGCTACAAAATCACTTTAAATAGGTAAGCAAATGGGACGTCGATAAATCTACAACTACGAAGTTGTAAGACTCGATGAAAGCGTGAACACAACGTTGCGGGAACGTG